ATGCTATCAAGAGTTTTAGCTCGCGTGGAAAATGAAGAGATGACCCCAACAAGACGTCGAAAGTATGAGCAACGAAGGAGTATTTTGGGACCAATGTCAGCAACATTGCAGCTAGATCAAAGCGAAGCAACGCGGCAAAAAGTACATGATTTTTGTTTCAACATGACCGACATTTCCCGCAGAAACAAATCACCGGACATCAATTGGGATGGAATCGATGCGATCCCAAGAGACCTACCGGATACAGAAAGTGAACGATCAGAACATGGTTATTGCCCACCAAACCGTGTTCCTGGAAGAAGTGTTGAAGGAGAGGGCAGAGCATCATCTTCGTCGGCAATCCCAAACAGGAATGAGCCTGAGATTGAACCGAATGCAGCTGGCGAAGAGGAAAGCGAAGACGAAAAAAATGGATGTTGAGACAGGAGCTGAACGATATAGAAAATATATGGATGATCCTATGGAGGAAGTTTCTGGATTGCACTATGGAGAAGAAACTAGCAGTAGTAGCAGCAGCAATGAAGGCGGCAGCTACACAGGATTGACAGATCCTGGTGAAGAAGGAGAAGAAGAGTTGCAACCGGAGCGTGCGCCATCTGAACCACGTTCCGGAGAGCATTGAATTTATTTTGTTGATGGAATGTTCAATTTCGGTGTAAGGTTGGACCAGCTGAACCAACCTTACATTTGCATACGTTATTGCTGGACACTGCGAAGCACTCACTTTGGTGCGGTTGAGAAATCATGAAACCTTTTTGTAGAAATTGTACTGAAAGTACCGGAACAGCATGTACAAAGAGTACACTGCAAGGAAGGCAACAAGGGGCCTTAATCTTAGTCGCATAGCTGATGCGATCCTTGTTGTCGGATGACAAAATTCGACTCAGAAACGTCGCAATTTTGAGGCGGCGTGTTAAACTTTGTGAACCTACTCAAGTGTAGTATCTGTTCATATCAGTTATACCGCTGTAGTGTGTGGGTCCAAAACAGAGCGCTGCATAAAAACGTGTACGGTTCGGCTTGCTACGCCAGAATTTTAAGGCGGCGTGTTAGAGCTTTCTAGGTGACTGACATGTGCATATAGTTGTGTAGTATTTGTTCTTATCACTTGTACCGCTGTAGCGTGTGGGTTCAAAAGTGGGCACTGCCCAACATCGGAGCTGTGGCCTCAGAACTGGCAACTTGGTAGTGCACATGTAGTGCGGGAAGGTGCGTTTTAAAAGTGCAAATTTAGTGTCGGGTGTGGCAGAACGACGTCCGTGACGTCACTGTGCCATGCGTTCTTTTTTGCACGGTCTCGGTGCAAAAAATCGCTTGCGCGAGCCTGCGCCATTGGCGGAAAGGAAGCATGCTGGTGCAAACGCGGCGTAATGTGGGATGGTTGGCGGTGCCCACAAGTCTTGGTGTTATTGTTTTACATTCTTGCAACTAGTCTGTCGCGCACTGCCTGGCGAAATGATGTCTGTGATGTCTCTGTGCCATGCGGTTTCGCGGCACGAAAGTGGGATTGCATGAGTCTGTGCCATTAGGAAACCGGGCAAAAATGCTGGTGTAAAGACGGCGTGTTGCTGGGGAACGGGATGATTGGTGGTGCCATCGATGCTTGGTGTTTCACTGGTGTGTCTAGTCCGTGGAGTGCCCTGAGTACGTTTGTGATGTCGCTGTGCCATGCGGTTTTGCGAGGCCTCGGTAAGAGCCAACAAGAGTCTTCCACAAGAGTGGCGCAAGAGTGTGTTCTACTCGACGGGTCCTACGAGTTTTTCCGTCAAGAGTGTCCCGCAAGAGCGTCCCACAAAGGTGTCCCACAATAGTGTCCAACAAGCAAACGGCTCGTATTTTGTAGAAGCGCTTCATCAGAGAATCTCTAGGGCAAAGCAGCAAGCCCGTAAAAGAGACGCACAGCCTGGCTTGATGGCCCGTGGCGAAGCAAACCACCCGGGCCCGGTGGGCTCTGCTATTGCGGTCGAACATCGCTGAATTACCCCTGTGCTTGTCCAGGAGATCCTCCATCAGCTGATTGCTGGGCGGAGAAACCCCGAAAACTCCCAAAATCAAGTTCCTCAAATACGTCGATGCAAAAGAATCAATAGTATTCCACACAAATTTTCCACGAAGTGCGTGTCCCACAAGAGTCTCCAACAACATCATAAGAGTGTCCCACAAAAGTGTCGCACGAGAGTATCCCACAAGAGTTTTCCACAAGAGCGTGTTTCAAGACTGCCCCACAAGCGTGTCCCACAGGAATGGTTTGCTGCGTTTGAGCTCTTTTTTCTCCAGCCACATTTGGAGAGCTCTGAATTCAAATCCAACATGTGCTCCCAATCCGATTTGCCAAGCTGCACCGCTAGAACGCTTTTTCATTCTTTGTCCGACCAATGCTTTTGGTGTCAGATGCCGTGGTTGTCCACGCTAACCATTGTCGGCTCGTTATGGTAGCACTGGCAGTGCGCCACAGGCAGGGTCCAAATGTCATAGGACCGATGAGTAAATGTCACAGCTGATTCAGCTGATCGACTAGATATAACGTCTATGATCTATGAGAATGGCACAATATTCAATAATAGATGATCGGCTATGGGAATAGTCAGAATAGTAGAGGCACCAATGATGTTTGTTGATAAACCAAGCCACCGGAGGATGAAAAAACACAGCCACCAGGCGGTACAGCCAGGGGCTTGGGAGCAGAAGTAGGCGAATGTAGGAGATGGTCACGTGGTTCATGAACATTTGCACTTCTTTGCACTCATGAATCATGAACATGAACATCAAAATCCAAAGACTGGATCTACTATACATATATATATATATACATGTGTTGCAACAACCTGTCAACCAGCCTTCAACTAACAGATACATGCTGCGAAGATGTTGGTCCATCCACTCCCCCGAGCTCCTCCGCCCGAGAGCCCGCCATGTCGCTGGCCTTGGCGGAGGAGCAAGAAACCTTGGACCTCCAAGGTCAAGACTTGGGCCGCAAAGGTGCTCAGAGGTGCCGCCCGTCCGGAAGGGACCAAGGGTCTCATGAGAAAGGAGAATGGATCGTCCTGGGAAGAACCATGTGATGTTTTAGTTGGTTTATGCATTCCGTTTTTGTACGTGCTGTAGCAAGAAGTACACAGATATCTTTTGAACAGGCTGTGTGCCAAGGTCCTCTAAAGCATCAGGGAATTCTTGGTTTGCACACCCCAGGACAGTCTCTGGACGCAGAAGGACTAAATGGGTAGAAGACTGAGCATCCAGACCACTGACAGTGGCTGCATCACAGCATCACACTCCCTTTGGTTTCACAAATCCGTGGTGAGGTCTTCCGTGATTCGCGTCCGAGGGTCCCGTTGGGTGATTCGCCAGGCTTGCTCGCGCTGGGCGACCGCATCAAAGTCTTCGGGAATGGAATTGAGCCGAATTCTGGCTCAAACAGCGCGAATTCAGGTCTGCGATCGTTTAACAGGGGAATGATTCTCACTTGGAAGTGAGTTTACAACTACCAGAATTGTTTGTTTCACCTTAGTTTCGTAGTGACATCCCCACTGTGTGTGTGAGTGTGCAATTGGTAGAAGGACTTTGGAGTTGGGTTTGCTTTTCCGTTAAGTTTAGCAAGTGGGGTCCACGTGACATGTCCATTGTCCATGTTTTGGCCACAGGTTTTTAACTCACCCCCCACCCCACTGAAAACTAACATAGACCCTGAAAACCACTGGTTTGTAGAGGAACAACTGGTTTTGAGGGTGCCATTCTCAGGGTCCATGTTAGTTTTCGGGAGTGTAGTTCCCACAATTCACCCGTTCAACACCACTGCTGGATAAGGCCTGTACAAAGCTAACTGATGCTGGCATTGCCTCCGTGGCGGGCGCGCTGCAGAGGCTGGGGATGGAGGTTGGGAAGCACAGATGCAAGGGGTCAAGTTTCACAAAGTGGAACACGAGCTTTCTACCCAACACAACAGGTGTTGGCAGTTCAGCATTCAACGCCAGCTGTTGAACATTGGATGATGCATGGTTTGTTGATGTATGCTGATGTTTCATACATATAAATGTAATGATGCATCTAACTGTCACCATTATTTGTTGCCCCAAAGCAGTCTTCAAAGCAGACTTGGAACTTCTGTCTCACTCCTGAACTTGCGGAACAACGAGCTGGGCGACGTGGGTGCTGAGGCCTTGGCGTCCGCTGAGGCCGCTGCTCCTGGCCGCTGGGATGGCGCATGGTGGGAACACGAAAGAAGAGACGGCACAAGGACCTGGGGAGGAGGTGGAGGAGCGAGGTTTTGAGTGAAGATGAAATCATTTGCAGTCAAAAGGAATCTGACTCATGGAACTCGGACATGTTCAGAAGGTAAGACTGCGACGTGACATGTAGTGACTATAGCACTCATCGAAGGTAGGGAAGTGTCCTGGAATCTCCTGGAATGCTGATTTTGAGGATCTCCTTCACTTTTCATGTGGCTCCCGACTTGACGGATGTTCAACGTTATTGAACAGGGATATATACACCTGCGGGAAGAGACCCACATGGAACCGGGCTTGGCATGGACCTTGGGACGACCATGTTTTCTCTACAACCCGACGTGGGTTCTCAGTGTGACGACCCGGTGGGTCTCTTGGGCGTCATGTTTTAAGGACAGTAACGACAGACGTCACGCCGGAGGAGCCACAGGGCGGAATCCGGCGCGATCTCCTGCTCGGTCGCCTTCGCGGACAACGAGGGGGGAGGAGGCTTCAAACAGCTCGACGGCGGAGTCGCACTCGCACCCCACCCAGCCGCAGGGTTCCGGAGCGATCCAACCCGGCCCTGGAACAGTTTCTCATCGACCATGAGCTCAATGAAAAGGCAACGCAGGTTCTCCGCCTGAAGTGCAGGAGCAACTGCTACGAACCATTCGCTTGAACTGTGCATACAACCCTTCGGGGGTGGTGCTCCAGAAGCTCCGGGAGCTCGGACTCCCACGCGACGCTTGGAGCCGCGCGACGGGAGACGAGAGACCCGAGGCGACCGGAGACGGGATGGACGCCTTCGCGGATGCCTTCTCGGCACGGAGGATGCTGCTTGAAAGAATCCTGGGAGAGCCAGACTTTGCACACTACCAAAGTGAGAGGCGACACGAATTGGTGACTTGGCAGAAGGGCTTTGGACTGACAAGCTGCAGGGATGCTGTTGTCCGTGTTGGAGAGTTTTCGTTGTTTTTCGGCCTCCTGGCGCCTTTCAGGTTCCGGTGAAGCAGATCAAACTAGTTCAAGAAGACCCACTCGCTGGAACTCCTGTCCTCATCCGATGGTACTTCAACAACTACACCTTGGTCTATGGATCTCTGTCGCAGGCGTGCTTGAGTCATGTGAGTCATGTGCTTGCCTCCAAAAATTGTTCCATGGGAGTGGATGGCACAGCCATGTGTGCATGCGTTGGTGGGTTCTATCAGTGTATTTTCGGTCAGTTGCTGGGAGTTCTCCTCTTAGTCGAGAGATTGCAGTCCGAGTTTCCGCCAAAATCAGCTAGGTTCTCATGGCATGCGATCCATTCTCTACTACCATTTGGCGTTTTTTTCCTATGTGGCCACAATGAGATTCTTCCCCGGTTACCAAGTCAAAGTCCTCAAAAGCTGCCCTCCAACCTGCATGCAGCATAGCTAATACGCCAACTTCAGCGCCCCGGAAAGTCCAGTCACGCACCTAGTCAAGGCTGCGACCATCTTCCGTAGCATGTTGGACCAGATTCCGTGCAAACAGGAGCAACACGAAAAAGGGTTGCTCGTATGTACCTGCGGAGCGCTCTTGCTGTGGCCATCCGAATGGTGCGGGCCTGAAGCGATCAGGCGGGGTAGAAGACCGCATGTAGGGCGTTTGTGAGGTCCTACGGTGCGATGGACAGAGGGGTGAAAAGAGATTCGGCGGGGGGGTCTTCAAAAAGGCCACCAGTGGAGACCTGTGCACAAAAGAATGAGGGCTTAACCCGGCGAAACCTAACGCTTTTCAACCACTTCTTTTTCAAACTCGCCAGGCGCCGCAGGGGCCGCAGAGACCCGGCGCCGGGTCTCTCGTCTTTCGTCGGGTCCGGGTGCTCTGTGGACACCGGGCACCGGGTCCGGAGCGGTGGGGGGGCCTGAATGGTCAGGACTGAATAGATTCATTGTCAGGGATAAATGTCGGATCAGTGACTGGACCTATTTTGAAGTTTGAGGTCTATGTTTATTATTGGTTGTTTTTTCTTTTTCAGATGATGAACGTTCTTTGTCCAGAAGACCTGTTTTAGGTTACAGCTGGAACTTGTTTGGTCATGGACTTATGGGTATGTGGGGTGGAGGAGGGCGGGAGTGGAAGGTGGGCTGTGACCTTGTCCAAAGTAGCTGTAACGACACGAAAGCAACTTACTGTACCTAAATCCTAAAAATACTTAAATATGAAACGATATGACAAGTATGTAGGGGACCCAGATAATGCTTCAGGTCAAAGTTCACTGACTTGGTGAGGCACTTGTTGAGGCACGCGCCATTCGTGACCCGCCGCAGACATGCTTCCAGCCAGCCAGCCAGCCAGCCTCAGCTACCCCGAACCATGCAAAATGATGTGTTGTTCATCATTGGAGTTTTTGCAAAAGTTGAGCAGCTGCCCATGACCATATCGAAGATGAAGCTGCCTAAGGCTATGATCCGCAGTGGTTTGCAACATTAACATTGGCTGAAGAGATTTGGAGGTGGGAGGGGCATGGAGGGTCTAGGCTTTCGACAGGCCGCGTGCCTTGCGACTCTCTTTTCATGTGACCACAATGTTACAGAAGTGATAGCAGTTATATTTCGTACCATTTTTCTTCCTTCATGTCGCTCCCTTTCGAATCATTTGAGCCATTGGCGGTTGCTATGTTGCAGCTATGTTTTGTCAGTCGGTCCATCATTTGTCAAATTTTCATGTTGTTTGGCAGAGCCTTTTGACGGAGGGCTCTGCGTAGCTGATTTGTCGTTTGCACGTTGGCAACACGGACGTCAGGTCAAGTGCCCTGAGGGTCGTGGGTCTTCCATGTGACTTCCTTTCAGACGTCTACTTCTTGGGGTGTATCGGTGTATCCCTCAGCGGCTGACTTTAGAATTCTCTTCCTTCCAAGACCTTTGGAACGTCACCTCCTCGCCCATCTATGGCACTGGAAGCCGTGCTGTTTTTTGAAGGACAGCTGGCAGTGCAGGTGATATGCTACCCAAGTTTCAATCATTGAATGCTGAACGCAGATAGAACGGACATGTGCGTGAGATGCGACTACCAGGACCCTCCAAGCGCTGCCGGCCTGAGAGATGCGGCCGCTGGGGTGTCCAAGAAGCACCCGTTTGGACGGTCCGGTAGAGAGACCCATGTTTCGAATTGGTTCTACTGTACCACTGTGCTGACCGCCCGTTCGTCCCCAGCTCGTTCGTTCCGTCGCCCCCGGCCACCCGGGCCGTTCGGCTCAGCGAACGGGACATGACTCTACCACTCCACACCACCAGAGGCTTTACGGCGCGTCGGTGCGTGCAACGTGGGGACCAATCACTGAAAAAGCTTCTTTCTTCCAGGACCTTCAGGACCTTCGACCGTCCTTGAGATCCCAGTGGTGGGTCGCGTCACAGTCCATCGTCCCTGAAGAGGTCACTGTGTTTCAGCCTCCAAAGAGGTCACGTACTGAAGGTCCTGGTTCTTGGCATGTCTACTCTTTGTTATATCGTTTCATGGTTCCGGACCTCGGCCGACCCCAACAGACTGAACGGTGACCAGCCGCGCACCGGGTGAACGGTGACCGTGACCAGCGAACGGCGGGAGCTCGCCACGGTTTTCCAGTCAGGTCCTCCGACCGATCCAATCGGCTCTTCGCTCGCTGACCGTGTGCAGGAGGTTTGTGAGGACACCAAGTCGAAGGGGGGAGTCTTTTCGTTCGTGCGCGAGAGGTGCTACGCGTGTGCTTGATGTACTGCGGCCACCTTCGGAAGACTGAGGTGGAACGGCCCGGGCGGCGTGGACACGGTGAAGCGGGGTGGTAACGATGGGGGGTTGAGCAGTTCTGACCAATCGCGTGTTGATTGTTTCGTGATTCCAAATTGGGTTTATTAGTCATTATTAGTCACTATTAGTCAAGAGTCTGCACGAGGTTGTCATTGTCCTTTGAGGTGGTGACACCTGGAACCGCCGGAGGAATCACAGTGGGTAAGCTCAGCTGTTGAGGAGTTGGGCACCAACCAACTAGAGGGGAAACTCTTTCAAGGGGATCAGAAGCCAGAAAGACCCTTTGAATTGATCAACAAGGGAAAGTGAGCCTCCAGTTTGCTCGCAGATGTTTGCACAGAGAGCTTGCGTTCAGAATGCCAAAGTTCTTTTTTCCAAAAAAACCGCAAGGGAGGGCCGATGTGAGCCAGGCTCAAGCCTGGCACATCCGAGTGCCTCAGGTCGGCGCCGGAGCCATGTGAGCCATCCGAGCGATCAAATCTGGGTTTTGCAGAAGCCATGACGGAAAGCTTGGCTTTGGTGGACATTCACCAAGTGAGATGGACGCACAATGCGATCTATGACCATTTCAAAGATGGTCGGAGCATCTTCGAAACCGTGGTCGAACTCCTGACAGGCAATTTGAAGCTCTCAGCTTTGCCTCCACTTCAGCTGGTGAAGAAAGGCAAACAACTCTACTCCCTCTCGAATCGCCGCCTTTTCGTGCTGCGGAAGTATGCCCACATCTTGAAAAAATTTGGTCATTTGCATGAGAAGAGCCCTGTGTCAGTTCCTATCGCCTTCACTGACGCCCACCATGGAGATGCTTTCACCACCGGCACTGGTGGTCTGCAGGTGCAGCTCTTGCGCCCCTTGCAGAAACCCACCTTTCAGCCGCGACAGTGGGGCCCCACCTGCGCCCCCTCGGCACGGAGCCTCTCGCGTGACGCGCGCAGCCACTCGCGTGGACGCTCGCTGTCGGTGGGCCGCTGGGCGGAGGCGACGGAGGCTGGGCGTGGTGCAGCGACCGGACGGCGCGCGTCCTTTGGGCGGGTGGAGTACCGCTTTGTGTTGGAGGACATCGAGGAGATTCCGCCAGCGGGGATGGCGGCGGTCGCACCGTCTTCGGGGAGGCCTAGGAGCCCAAGTCCCAAAGCCAAAGCAGCAGCGACAGAGGTGAAGCCGAAAGCAGTGGCGAAAGAGGTGAAGCCGAAAGCAGTGGCGAAAGAGGTGAAGCCGAAAGCAGTGGCGAAAGACATGAAGCCGAAAGTAGCAAAAGATGTGGAAGATCATATGCCAGATGCTTTGAAAGACATAGGCCCATGCGTGAGTGAAGCACAAGGGTTTCCGGTCCTTCCTCAGAGCAAGAGAAGCAAGAAAGAGCTGGAGGTGGCAGATTTGGTGCTCAAATGTCTCCGCTGTCAGAAGGAGATCCCCAAAGCTCGTCAGATACAGGTGCCGGAGAATCTCAAAAAGCACCTCTTCTCCAGGCTGGTGCCTTCTGGAGAGGAGCAGGAAGTTACTGCTTGGATCGATGGGCGTGGGCCGTCGATTGGCCCTCACACTCAGGTTGAGAAGCTCTTAAAAGATCTTCAACGCTACGTTGCCCGCCTGGAGACACAGGTGCGGTGGTTGTGTCGCCCAAGCCTTTCATGATGTGTCAGAGCTAAAGAAGAACATGAAGAACTCCCTGCTTTACCTATCTTGATGAGGTTTCATGTTCACGTCTCATCACGTATCTATTTTCAGCATTGAAGACCGGGCCGAACCGTTGACCCCCCGCCCAGGTGGAAGACTCGCAACGCGTGGGCACCATCGCAGCGTGGGAGGAGAGAACCTTCACTTCCCACGCCTTGGGCGGTTCCAGCCACGTCCAGGGCCCGGCGCGCGTGGGCGACGGCGACGTCGAGGGCGGCGCGGGCCCGAGTGGCCCGAGTGGCCCGTCGCGTGACGGGGCGACCTTGCTTTTGTCCACCTTGAGCCCAGACGGCTCGCTGGGAGCGCAACTGGTGGTGGATGGAAAGCCGCGTCTCCAATTGGTGGATCCCATTGTGGGACGAGTGCTGTACACCTGTGAGGACTTGCTGGTGGGCTCTGAACTCTCCCAGTCGCTGCAGTTCTTGGACTATCGTTTGCTTCTGTCTGGGCCTGCAGGGGTCACGTGCTTCGACTTGAAGAGCAAAGCGGTGCAACACATGCCGATGCCCATGCCGATGCCCTATGGTGCTTGCGGCTTCATGGTCCTGGTGCCGTGTGGCACGGTGTCCGGTGACACCTGCCTGCCGGGCACCGTGGGGGACACCCCGGCGGACACCGCGGGGGGCGCCGCGGTGGACACCGCGGTCGCGCCGGTCACGCGAGCTCGGCGGCGTGGGACCAAAGGTGGCTGACTGAAGTGTGTTGGGGATTTTTGGGGATGTTGGCTGCGCCGGCTAAAGGGCCACTTCTTGAATGGATTTCTTCTGTTCAACTACTGTAGTTAAAACATGTTCTTCCGTAAGCAGCCAGGTTTAGTACACAGATCCTGAACGTTTTGAAGCACCAAATCTGGTTTTTCCTCGAGCCTTCAAAAGAGGGGAGATGCACGACCGGTTCAGAACGTAGAACCGACCTTGCCGAAGGTCTAAGGTCGGATGGTTTGTGAACTGGATTGCAGAACAGGTCGTGTTTTGAACTGGACTATGTCCCAAGATTGCGCCTGTTGTCGCCTGTGGAGCGACCGGAATGCAGGTGCCAATGCAGGTGCCAATGCAGGTGCTGGGCATGCGCGACAGGAGCGTTTTGACCTCCTGCACGGTGAGGCGGAGTGGAGGGGGTGGCCGGATCGGGGGATTTTGGAGGATCGGGGATTTCCTCTTTTCTTTTTGGGAACTAGAAAACCATGTGATTGCAATACCCGTGGTGTGAGTGGACCTTCTCAACAATATGCTTCGAAAGGGACACCTTCTCGCGGAAAGGGTTGTGGGCTTCGGATCCTCGCGATGACGACCCCGTGGAGCCCAGAAGATTCCGACGAAGAAATGATCCAACAATGCTCCTCATGAAAGAATAGCGACACCTCTGAACCTCCTTCAGAGTCTACACTTGTAGACACCCTCAAACGGAGGGTCCTGGTATATTCTTATTCAAGAGAAGACCACCACAGGTTGAAGAACCCGAACTAGACTATCCGGGTCCTAGTGACCTGGTCACGTTCCACCTCTCTTGGGACCCTGATCCAAGTGCTTCATCACTTCCGAATCTTCGCCCCGGCGCCTCTTCGGTGCACCCGTTTGGGTGCGATGCCCCGTGGTGCACCGATGTGGTGGTGCGATGTGGGTGGTCCCGTCCCGTCGGAGCTTTTGATGACTTGGGGTTTGACATGTCTGTCGCAGCGGGGTCTATTCTATATACTTCACCAATGCACATGCAGGTTTTTGAGGATGTTCTTTTTTCCAAGCCTGGGTAGGCAAGACCAAGCGGCGTGTGATGACTGTGTAGCAACATGAAGACGCATGGAGAGGCTTTGGGGTGGGTCGTCTCTTTGCCCGGTGGGGGGTCAGTGGGGATCCTCGAGAGGAAGTCCTGAAGAATGAGTTCATTGGTTTTGTTGCTGTTTCTTGTTTTTCTTTGCTGTTCTGCTGTGTCGCTGGTCTGAAATATCAGGGCGATGTCTCAGGCGATGCCTCAGGCTTGCGGCCTCTTGAATGTTGGGGGCCCCCAATCCACTTTAGTTCCAATTGCTGGTTCGATTGTTGAGGGGATGTGAACAGAAACATTCTGAAAGAAGAACACATTCTGACTGAGGCAACTTCCAATGTTCGTTTCAACCTCTTCAACCTCTTCCAATTGGTCCTCCCACACAGGTCCCTCGAGGCCTCGACCGTGGCAACCCAGCAGGTACTGAGAAGCATCGGGTGATGAAATCGTCACTGCCAGAGGAGCCACGGCCATCGCGCAAAATGAAGCCGGGACGCGGGACACGGCCAGGGCTGGTTGGTCAAGTGAATCATCTTCGGTTTGTACGAAAGGGCCAGCAAACCCTTTGGAGGCCCGGAGATATTCTGGAGAAAAAAGGGCAGTTGAGGTACTTGGCAGAAAGTGACGAAAGTGATTGTTCCAGAGAGAAGCATGTGAAGCAAACTGCTTGGGATCCAGATGTTTTGCTCTCTCGCAAAATCGAACGATTAAACACAACAGCAAGACATGGGAGAGTTTGCTTGTTCGCCAGGCTTCTGTTCCACCATCGATCAGATCCTTGGGTTTTTCGGTGGTTTTTTGGTGTTTCGGGCCGCTCCTCCACCTCACCAGCTCCGACTCGCCCAACTGGCCCAATGGATCGCCCAGGCAGCCATCAGTCGTAAGGAACCAGGGGGCCCTCGGAGGCAAACTGGAAGCACCGGGACGAGCGGCCGACCTCGCGGCCTGGCCCTGCACAAGTGCACCAACTCTGTGGTCCAAGGACCTACCACGGGGGGGGGCCGCCCCCCCTCCTTATGGTCGTGGTCAGTGCGGAGCCATTGGTGATGTGATTCTCGCCAGTGAGGGCTCAAGAATGCTCAAGAGCTGGAAGGACACTTTTTCATGATCCTCCCCAACACGTGACGCATGTATACGCGTGTGTGTTTTGTTTACTTTTTCAGCTGCGAGTGTGAGTATTTTTCAGTCCACTCTGCTGGCTGCCAGCTGGCCTCGCATCCGATCCAGCCCGATACTCGAAACGGCCCGGAAACTACTCGTCTTCCCAGAAACGGCCGGAAAACACATCTGGTCCCCCAAAACATCGGGAGCCCTGAGAGGTCTAGGTCCGAACCGCCACGGAGCAGACCAAAGAACCAATTCAGCAGACTTCCAGGGGCACCGTTTCGTTGGCCCCACTGGGAAAAGTCAGCCCCTCGTAGCAGAGGCACGCACCTCGTAGCAGAGTCAGCCGCGACGTGGACCGAGACCCTGCGGGCCCCACGATGCAAAGCAACAGCACCCGGCTAGCGACCTAGCAGTGCTCGGTGGCCATGTTCCTGGGGCCTGAAGCGCTCAGGCCGTCGGGGGTTTGGAAGACTCGACAGAGATGGATGAGCTCGGATGGGGAAGACGTTCAGACCAAGTGGACATGGTCTTTGTTTGGGTCCGACCATCGTGTTAGGGGTGGTGCTTTTTCAAGGTAACAACTGGGAGAGTGTGATAGTGCAGGTTTCCTACATAATAGGAGAAGGCCATCCCAACTAATTCTTCAACAAGTTCTGCCAGGCTCTATCTCAGCAGGGGCCGCCTACAGAGGCTGGGCTGTGAGGATCCAAGGTCTCGGGTTGACCAAACTCGGACTGGTCGCACTCGGAGAATTCCCCGTCGACCGCCTGGTGGGTGGATGAGTTGTGTGAGCGACCTTTGAGTGGAGAAGAGAGTGAAGCCTACACCAGAAGTTTCTACAGTTGGAGCTTGCCTTTGGCATTTGGCGGGGGGATCGGATTATAATATAATATAATAATAAATATATATATATATATATGTACACAAGATGTTTGAAGATCATGAGTTGGTAGGGAAGGTTTTGGATGTGACAGTGTGCGCAAGTCTTGGAAGGTTTCAAAGATTTTCAAAGTACCTATAGGGACACCAAAGCAGTTTACTGTACCTCACTTTAAGTATTAAAAGGTGCATGCAATTTCTAGTTTCGGGAACCACTATGAAACTTCAGGTCAAAGTTCACTGACATGTTGAGGCACATGCGTGACAAGCCACACATGACTCAAAGACATCCGAAGACTGCTTTGATGGTCAGAAAAAGGAGGTCTTAGGTCCTCCAGTGGGGAAAGAGGTGCGAGGAGCACGTGTACATGTAAGAGGACTGTTGAGGTTTGCAAGTTTCCAAGGTCTCGACCGTTTTAGGCCTCAAGCACCTCTGGAATCACTCTCTTGGGGAAAAAGCACCTCGCAGAGCCACCGAATCACTCGAGCTCGGGCCGCGCGCGTGGCCCGCGCAGTCTCCGCTCGAGTTCTGGCTCGTGAACCGAGCCGTTTCCATCCCCGGGGTGTCGCCCGGTTTGGCGCAGGCCCGGCGTGAGGCATCGGGTCTGGCTGGTGCTGTGCTGGATGTCTTCCTGGAAGGCGCGGTCGTATTCCGATCTATCCAGATGGTCGTGTGCGCAGTGCGCATGATGCTGACGGGTCTCCACCCGTTCACCCCAAAGATGCTGGGCTTGGGCGGTTGGTCGTTTTCAGGTTTTGACCCTTTCCTGGATGGGTTTAGTTTTGATCCATAATGGCATCACCTTGATCCAGACTTGACAGGGAGAATTCCCGAGTGGTTCCATGATTTCACCGGGCCTGTCAGTGGAACCCATGATCTGACTCTTGGATGGCAGATTCCTCAAAGGACCATTGGATGGGCAGATGGCAGGACCTTCCTCAAATGAGGCTTTGGCTCTTGAAATAGGCTTCAAAACACCAACGACCAGAAATCGTGAACCTTCAGAACGAAACCAGGGGGATTGGTTCCTTGTTCCCAACCAGTCCAAGGACCAAGTGAAACTTTGGAACCGGGTCCTTAACCCCCATGTAGTACTGTCTTTTGGGACCCAGATCCAGATCCAGGTCCGTTCTTGAGGGGGTCTGGGGTGTTTTTCAGCTGCATACACCAAGCTACAGTGATTTTCGGAGCTGTATGCATCACCGAAACCTGCTCGGTGCCACCGGCTTCGGCTTCGAACCTCGGTGTCGGCGTGGCCCCAACGTCTACGTCGTCGGGTTGCGACTGACCGGTGGGCGGAAGGTACCGCGGTCAAGCGGTCAGCCATCCAGGAGGCCCCCCCCCAAAAAATAAAGCTGGATTGCTGGTGTTTCCAAAGCCTCATGCAACTCATGACTAACTCGGCATGACTCCTTCCCATCAGGGTGGGAAATGATGGGAGGGCTCGTCCACCAGATCTGAAACGGACTTGGACTTGGCCGCCAGGTCTGGCTGGAACAGCGGCTCAGTGCGTACAGCCCGGGACTCGCCAGTGGGGGTGAACGTTTGGGGGGAGCGGACGAACATTTGCTCATTCACACCATTGGATACCATTGGTGAAAACACCACGGCCAGTGTGAGTTTCGCGTGTGTCCTTGCCCGATTCATGTGAGTTTTGAGAGGGTTGACATCAGATCTGGTCTTCTTCCTGAGAAGACCCACACCATGGCCGGCGACCTAAGCGACCTCCCATTGGTCCAAGAACATGGCATGAGAGGTTAAGTGACCTTATAACCCTATAGGATACCTCTGCTGAGGTGCCTACCTTTGGTACCCTGAGCTCTACGACCAGCTTCTGGCGCAGAAGCTCCGGAAGAAGCGGCTGCTGCGCAGCCAGGCGGGCACGGGGTTCCGGCGGGTCACCGGTTCCGGAAGGGCGACCGGTAGGTGGGGCCAATTCCAATTCTGGTGGGTGGGTCCATGGGTTAACTCGTAGTCCATTCTGTTCATTTTGAAGGTTTTTCCAAGAGGGTTGGGAGACAGACTGGAGAGGAGCGTCCCCTTGAGAACCAAGGATGGCTCGAGCCCAAAGACTGGTTGTAGTCAAGGTGACACACTGACTTGGAAGATCCTTCTTAGATTCTTGCCAAACAGTGGTAACTCCCCAAGCAGAGAGTTTTTGGGATCATCAAGAAACCTGTGAGCACTTCAACACAGTCAAAACCCCTTCCCAGCAACCGATTCTGATCACGAGCGAGCGCACGGAACGCTCTAGTCAAGAAAGGTGCCATGATTGATTTGGCTGTGGGTCAAAACCCGGAGCCCCATCTCCAGAGTGGGTCTGAGTGGCAGTGCAGATTGACCACTGTCTTGCGGTGTAAAAGCCCGGAGCCCCAAAGCATGGTACTAGTAGGTTGACCTCCTAGGTAGTCTATTCTGTTCATTCTCGGTAGTCAACCAGTTTTGACCCACAGCCATTTGATTCAGGTAGCAAGGCTGGGTGTTTGGGAAGCAGACCCGGGGTTGCCTTGTCAGCTTGCCTCTTAAACCATCCAAGGCTTCTTAGCGAAGCCACCACGTACAGTCCGAGCTGTCCCCTTCATTTGGGAAGCGTTTTTGGGGCCAGGGCGTTTGGTGTGTCTCTGAATCTTCCCTTAATGCGTCTAGTACAAGAGACGATGTCCGCAGAGGGGCCTTCGAGTCAGCCATGGCGCTGTGCATCCGCGTGGCGCTACCCAGTGGCCGCACGGCAGACGTCCCGCTGGAGCGCGAGGCGACGCTGGGGGATCTCAAGACTGCGGCGCAGCGGCAGTTGCAGGCCGGGATGCGGGGGCACCGAGCACCTGGGACAAAGGATGCTACATGGTGTGACATGATGATTGTTTGTGGGGTGCCAATCTTTTGGTGCGGCAAAGCTACGAGATGTAGCAGGATTCATGTTATTTTTTTGGGCCTGGGGATGCGGAGATCGATGATGCCAGACGACACAAAGAAGGCTCAAAGGCAGTGAAGGAAAGGCCGGCCTGGAGCCGGAAATTAGATGCCTGCGAAAGAACGCTTTTCCTGTGCCACCCGCACAATTTCGCGTTCCTCCCTGACTCCGCCTGACTTTTGTGGGTGGGTGGAGCATATTAACTGTTTTCTTTTGCCTTTAGTGGAATACACAGTGGTGGAACATCTCAACGTCCCCGTCTCAGACCCACCACCCTTTCTGGTCGCGGCCGCCGTACGGCCTGGCCGTATGGCCTGCGGCAGGCCGGCGTGCTGCGGCTGATGCATCCGTCCAGCGGAGAGCTCTTGGATCTGGCGCAGTCCGTCGAAGCTGCAGGCTGGGGCTGCGGAAGCACACAGGGAAACACAGGTGCTTGTTGTGTCGGAACATGAGATGTCCGGGTTCGAAGCTCACAGGACCAGCAGGGACAGGGACGGTCGGACCGACCTTGGACATCCGCGAGTGTTTGGGGAGACAGATGCAATCCAGTTGGCATCAGTTACATAAGTGGCCTTTACTTGCGAAAAATCCACTGTGACTGGTTAATTAATTGTCACAATCATCCACTGTTACTGGTAATAGGATAGACCATGATGATAGACCCAATCTATAAGCTAATCATTCATAGTATTCACTTACTTATATAATCGATTTAATATCAGTTAGATACGGTTCTGCAATCCTTTTGAGAGAACAGCGACGTATCAGGACATAATATTGGAGATCGTTCTAGACTGGCTACAGTGTGTTTGCTCCACCGAATATAGAGGCCTTGGCCAGAATGAACATGAAGTGCGAGTTTGGGGGTGTTCGTCGAAGGGTTGATGTTTTGAGAGGTATCCTGGAAAAGTTTGGGAACTTGAAAGGAGGTTTCACTGGGGCGGCTAGGATTCCAGAAGCATTGTTGAACATATTTTTGACCCGAGCCACCATTGCTCTCGCACAGATTCTAGACTGAAAAAGCGCAGGTTGTTCCTTGATGTACAGAGTCGCAGCGCGGAACAAAGTTTGGCGAAACAAGCCGACTTCTGCAGAGGCGACTGATAGGGATCTGGCCGACCAAGGACTCGCTCCGGAGGCCACCGTTCTGGCCATCGCGCAGCCAATGCAGCTCTCTGCCACCAAGCCCCTTGGCGCGCGCCCGCGAAGTGTGCAAAGGCCCAGAACGACTATATCTTGCCCCCCGTGGGCCCAGTGAAGTAAAGGAAGGCTCTTTCCTTTCAGGCACTCCTTATCTTCAAGTTCCCTCCAAAAGGACGATTCTCTTCCAACCACAGCATCATGATGAAGGGTTTGGGGATTGCTCGAAACTCATTGGCCAAGAAAACGGCGCAAGCGAAGAGGTACAACATCAATTGTAACTACCAGGCACCAACTCCTTGGAGCCCGGGCCCTTCGGGGAGGCTCACCTCCCTCTATGACTTTCTGTCGCAGAAGACGTGGGGGACCTGCGCGCGCTCCTTGGCCAGGTTTTCCTTCGCCCTGCGCTGTGGGGGTCGCGTGGTCGCCTGGGGGGCGCCGAGAGATGGGGGCGATTGCAGCAGGGTGCAGCATCAGCTGCGCGAGGTGGAACACTTGGAGGCGAGGTCCGGTCGTCCGCTTCAGCGAGCGAAGTGACGGAAGTGGAGAGAGTTGAACCGGTCGGAGGGCGAATCGCTTGAAGAATGGTGGGATTCCAGGAAGCTTTCCACAAAGAACTCCTGCTTCAGCAGGTACCAGGTAGAGTGTAAGAATCATCATACATTTGCTTGAACTGAGAGGCGGGATTGAATAGGCTACAGCCGCTACAGGTTTTTAGCTACTTATAGTACTGTGGCCTCCTTACTATGTGGCTCACCTACTGAAAACGAAGGCTCGAACGAACGTCCGAACGAACGTCCGTCCCGTCAGTCGGACACCCGGACGAGAGCTTCTCGGCAGGGCAGTGACCGGAGCTTCTCGGCACGGCTCTCTTCGGGACAAACGGTGGCCTGGGGTGGCCTCGAGTGCTCGACCCGCACGCAGGAGCGTTTTGGAAGAAGAATGGCTCGTTGTGAGTTGTGTCGGGAGGGGGAGCACAAGGTCGATTCTTTCCTATGGTTTCTGAATCCTGAATACATGTTTTTCTCCCGATGTCTCAGCAAGTTTATGCTGGCAATGATGCACAGTGTCTACACTGCCGCTGAGCGGCTCCCAAGCTTGTGCGCTCTTCAGCCAGACCCGTCCAAGAGGGACTATCTCACAGCGCAGTGGGGGACATGTGAGTGAGTGCAGACATTCCACAGGGCTTGGAACCATGTCAGGTCATACCATGCGCTCATATATCCATGTGTGTGTGGCCACATATTTTGCTTCGACAAGAGAGTCTAATACGTGCAGGGCGGATGGCCCAACACGGTTGGTATTACATCGTATGACCATCCCGTTTTTTCCATGTTTCGGCGCCGGTGAATGGCCAACCCAACCAAACATGAAAATCCAAACTGCACCTCTTTTTCCACAACCCCCAACTAGCGCATCTAAGTTGTGGTTCTACTTGCCTGCAAGCCTGGGGGGATCGAGTTCCTGGCCGTCGAAGCATTCTCCAAGGAGCTGCAAGATACTCTTGCCGCCGCGCAGCAGATCTACGACACGGACACCGCTCATGCAGCTTTGATGCCCAATGGAGGCATGGAGCGTCGTGGAGGTGTGCGGCTTTGAAGGGAGCAGTGACGAAAAAAGTTTGAAGCCCGGACCCCCAAGTGGCAAGTGCTGAAAAGGCACTTGTTTCAGAATGTTTCACTAGCCTTAAGAACTCTTTTCATAATGCATGAAAGCTAGCTGTTGAAGCATCCCTAACGCCTTGGACGCGACTGAAAATTCTTGGAGGCGTCCTTGCATGGGGAGATCCAGAAAGAGGTGGCGACTGCAGTGAAGTTGAAGAAGATCTGGTGGGTGTGAACCTTGGGACGAAAAGTTCCAAATCCTTTTGGCCGAGGTTCCCCCAAAGTCTGAGCGCTGGTTTTCAGCTTTGGCTGTTCTCTGGAAAACACATTGCGCCGCTTGAAGCAATGACTTTGAACTACAATTATTTTTGGATATTTTGTTGGACTTTATTCAGCCTTCTTTTCCACCAGCACATTGGGTCAACTGCATGACTTTTCACCTCACAACTCGCCCCCAATCCCTTGAACCGCCCCCAGGACGTCGCTGGTGGCCACCAGCGATTCCTTCTGCGCCCTGTTGGCCGACGGCCGCCTGGTCACCTGGGGCGACATGGATCTGGACCTGGGCTTCGGCACCGGGCCGCACGGCCAAACGCTGCAGGGCCGGCCCGACCACCGAGGCGGCCGAGCGCCGCGGGCGAAGGCGGTGGCGGCCACGGTGCACGCGTTTGCGGCGATTTTGAGGGATGACACGGTGCTGGCGTGCCTTTGGAGGAGTTGAGTTCCCGCGGAAAACGAAGGAGACGGCCGAGGGGTGTGGCCCGGGCCGCCCCCCACGGCCAGCAGGATTGAGATGTTTCCTGATTCCCACAGGTTCTTCAGGGTTCTGTCGCCGAAAACGCGAGGTGGGCGGTGCCGGTAGCCGGTGGGCGACCCACGTCTTCTTCGCCAGAAAAGTGAGATGTTCGGACTCAACGAGGTTGGAGGAAGAGATCTGCAGATCTGCTAGAACTGCCCAGCCGCCCAGCCCGAAACGAAGCACGGGGAGTTTCAAAGGACCGAGGCATGCGTCATGGGTTTTCCACCGGTTTCTTCTGGTTTCAACGGCGAGGCATGCTGTAGACACACCGCATCAACATGGCCTTTGCTGGTATTTTTTTCAAGAGAACAGCCCCGAAGTCGCAGAGTCGATGAGTCGATGTGGAGAGAAGACATTTGCAAAGATGTTCAACTCCTTCCCTCCCAGCAAAAAAACAGGTGCCGTGCGAGGCTCCAAGGATCAAGATGAGAAACCTTTACTTTTCAGAACTGGATGTTTTTCCTGCTCAGAACTGGAGAGACCTTCTCAGTGCACCTCCCAGGTGGGGCGATGAAGCCTATGGTGGACGCTTAAACGTCGAGCTGCGCGAGGCCCGCGGGTTCGCTCGCTCGTAGCGATGGTCGGAGGAGGTTCTGATTTCGGAGCCCCATAGGAATCGAGCGAAGCAAGGCCGAATCCCTTTTTTGGTGTTCAAGGACCCTTCAAGAGCCCTTAGTAAAAGACTGGCACTTAAAATTCCCCAGTTGAAAGCCCATCGACCTGTGTTTTGGTGACTTGGTGATCCTGGTTGGTGACATGACTGTCATGACTTTTCAGACTGACATGGATCGTTAATGAGACTCCTGATTAATAACATCCCCGCATTTGGATCATGTGGATTGTAAAGCCGTAAAGCCTTTTACATATGTTTCTTAGCTCGGAAGAGCTACCGGTCCGTTGCAGCATTGCACCAAGGAACAGAGGAACGGGGAAGGATCGGCCACCGGTTCCTTCGTGAATTGCCAGGGAACGCCGCAAAGCACGAGACGACTGAAGGGTTCAGACCTGTAGTCATGCGTGGTGAGCTGAAGGCGGTCCCAGCCATTTGCTGCAAACAGGCGTCTTCCCTGTTCGGTGCCAGGAAGGACTTTCGGTGTTGCTTATTGGGGGGTGCCACATCGTGTCTGTATTCAAGCAACACGCCAGAAGCGAAGCGCCTGGGCTGTCCTCGTCCTCCGAAAAAGCCTCGCATATCTGGCTGCTTCTCCTGTGAGGTGGAGAAGCTCCAAGCGACGAGCAAGGCCTTTGCAGCTCTGAGCACGGAGTCTGGGCCTTTTTGGGAGGGGAAGAGGGGGTGGCTGGAGTTCGGGTCAGCCAGTAAGCTGCTTCCAGAAGATTTCTTTTGGGTTAGGTCTTGGTCACATGGCTTCACCCCCTGGTCTATGGGGCTCGGAACACATTCCCGATCGACCCGATCAGGGTTGGCTGAGACTGGGTTTTTCTGTGCCCCCCACGCTCCGGACCCACGTGACCGATATAGATGTTGCAACCGCCCCCGTAGGGCCGTAGGGGTTGAGGTGTGTCAAAAACCCAAACCAGCCAAACCGGTTAGAGGAGGTTCCTCAGTCAAAACGGTCAGTAAGTAATTGCAGGTGCGACGTCATGTGCAAAGCCAGTTTGCAAGCCACCGCCTGAAGCTTAGCACCAATAGCGGGAGAAGGGTCAGCGTCAAATGTGACCCACCCACTTTTGGCAGTAACACGAGGCTGGTTCACCCACCAAACATGGGCAACATTGAAGGAACATTCCATCTCTTGTCGAAAAGAACGAAACTGAGGGCACGTGGCCCAGAAATGCCTCATGGAAGCATCTTCTGCATTACAAAAAGGACAACTCGTGTTATTAAAGTGTCGGGGAAGTGGCAGCACTACCCCGAAACACGGAGAGTAAAAGTTTTTCCTTAGGTTCAAGATTTGCTGGATCCCAGCCGGATCCCAAATGACCACTTGCCACGACCAAAAAACGACACCGCCATCAAAGATGCTCTGGGCCATTCGCTACGTGTGGACGACTTGGACCCACCTGTGCCAGGTTATCCATCCCAAAAGCCTCAACTGTGCCAGGTTATCTCAGGCGGCGTCCCAACCACACGCGATCCACCGGTATCCACAGTGTTTGCCTTGTTGGACGTCTGGGATCAACTCCTCCGACTCCAAGGATATTCTGCTTTAACGTACCGGGAGTCACACGTCGGGGTGGTGTGGCCCGTCCCATCCCAGGGGCCGTGGATGCGACAGGGGCACTCCGGTCAGCCTGCATGGATAGCACCCCGTCGAACGTGACTCCTGGTCCACTCCAACGAACACGTCACATGAAAGTGGAGTGAAAACCCCCGGGCGTCGCAAAAGGAACGTCGTCTTCCAAGGGACCATGTCATCCACTTCCATGTGATGTGTTCGTCAGAGTGTATGTTGCTATAATATGTGAGTGGATGTGAGTGGATGCACTCCTATATAGCCTCCATGGATAGCACCCCGTCGAACGTGACTCCTGGTATTTGTAAAATATGTTTTAAAGCTTTCATATGGCCCCTCCGAATCGTGGTGGTGCCCAACTTCTCCGATGGTGCCGAGGACGGATCGATCTATGCCTGGGGCGACCGAGAGCATGGTGGGGAGATCAGTGAGACAATCCAGGAGCAGTTGAGAGAGGTCGGGGGCACCTGCGCGCCTGGTTTTGGCGAGGTTGGGCGGGTTGGGCGAGCCTACTGAAGCAAGATGAAGCAAGTCTAAGTTTGGGTATAAGCTCCTCAGAGCTAGATGTTTTGGTGGTCGAGCCGATGGAAGAAAGCCGGGGGACAGTGTAAAGGCTGTGGATGTTTTGGAGAGGGTTTAATCACCCTCTCCATCCAAGTTGGTGCTTTTGATTTATCTTCATTTTTAGAGGAGGTCATGGACCAAGCGACCACCTATGGGTAGAAGTTCCAAACTGTTACCAGATCTTGAACCGGTTCGAATGGCTCCACCTTGCTTTAGTTGGCTTCGCTGATCTCGATGTCCTGCACCAAGGGGCCTCACTCCCTCGGTGTGCCCCGTCACGATCTCCAGGTGCGCCACCTGGCCTCCACGAGCTCCGCCTTCTGCGCGCTCACCGCGGACGGTCGCCTCGTCTGCTGGGGCAGCGCCGCCCACGGCGGCGCCGGACCCGGACCGGCCGCCACGGGGCGGGCGGTGGCGGTGCGGGGCGGCGACGCCGCGTTCGCCGCGGTGCTTGAGGAGGGCACCGTGGTGGCTTGGGGTGCGAGCTGCGGGGGTTCAGTGCCGGAAGAAGTGCAGGAGCAGCTGACTGGGGTGCAGGAGAGGAGACTTGCTGACGGGTGGGGAGTTGGGGGGGCCAAGTGTTTCGAACAGAATTCCTGGGGAGTGTATTTTGGAATCAACGCTCAAAACTTGAGCGAACAACTCGTTCTGCCTTAACCTTCCGACTGACTGTCCAACTGGGTGCAAAGAAGTGTGCTGAGCCCTTAGGCCTGACGCCCTTACCGATTCAAAACGCCAGACAACGCACCGCACAGCACACGTGGCAAATCACTGCAAAGGCCTCACAAAAAATTAGAGGCCATGACATCGTCGTATCTCGCCTCACACATCATCTCTTTCTAAGATTTTCTAAGCGCGGGCTTTCTTATGACCAAAAAACTAGACGACGAGTGGCCCGAAAGCATTTTTCAAAAAATCATTTCATGTGATTTCCATCCAAAAACTCACTTCCGGGCTTGTCTCACCGGCCTCTTTCTCCCCACGCAGGACCTGCAGGCGACCCTGAAGGCCTTCGCAGCGCTCACGTCCGATGGGCGCGTGGTTTGCTGGGGAGATCCCAGCCTGGGAGGTGCACCGAGCCACCAGGCGAGCGGATAAGAAATTCTGTGTGTTTGGGGAAGCGATCCCTTTGGAAAAGAAGTGGGTCGACTCCAATGTCGGTCGACTCGGTCGATCTGTTGGAGTTTTTTTCATTCTGTTCTTCCAAGCACTTACGATATTGACGCATGTCATTACGTCTCTGCTTCTTTTTGATCGTCCGTGAGGCGTGTGTGGCGTTTTGGTGTGTTTTTGGGGACGGGAGGGACCGGGAGGGAGGGTTGGCGGGGGTAAGTCCGGGTAAGTGTCGTGTTGAGCATGTTACTAGTAGTGACTAGTGTTCTGGTTCCTGGTAGTAGGGCCAGGAGCCCCTAGTAGAGTCCTTGCTCCTAGTAGCGATGCCCTTTGCTCCTAGTAGCGTTCTTGTTCCATGTGTCTTGGAGTCTTCCAGGTGAAAGAGCAGCTGAAGGAGCTTCTCTGAGCCCACGAAGGACCTGACCAGCGAGGAATGACCACCTTCCGCGCGCTGCGGTGGGGTCGCCGGACAACGAAGCTCGGTGGGAACTTCGTTCGGAGCCGGCGTCCAGGCTAAGCCATCGTCCCAAAGGCAAAGCTGACCTCTCTACTATTTGGTTCACCCTGGGGGTCCCCCATTTCACCTAGCTTTGTTGTCCAAACGCACCAACAACCACCGTGGAGGTCCCCTCAGTCAGGTGGACCTCGCAGATCTCGGCAGTGGTTCTACTCGATTGAATGCACTCATACAAGAAGATAGATGTCAATAAGTCCAGGCTAAGACCCTATCACAGGTTAGCTGAAGGGATTAGCTTCCAGCAGCCATCTTGAGGATTCAAGAAGTTTGCACCCAGTTCGGACCAAGGCCACACTCTGGAATTAAGATTTAGTCCAATTAGAAGAGATGGCGTCCACTGTTTCCGGTACCCTTTCCGTATGCATCCTCCCCGAAAAAAGGTTCACTTGCGCAAGCTCTCGACACCAGACCCGCTCGCTGCCGCGTCGGACTGCCAGGTGTTTTCCGTTCCATCCCCCCAAAGGGGCGAATCTCTGTTGCGAACTCTGGGCGAGCATACGGCGCCCCAAAGCTATGAGGTTCCTCGCCGCGCTAGCGCGTTTAGGCAGCGCGCCCCATCAGCTCGGCTGATTGACCCTTACAACAGTGGCGGGGAAGTTGGGGCCCCCGTCACTCAGGGTCCAAGTGCCCTTTGGAATCCTTTCAGCTCTTTTTGGAACTCTTCCCTTTTTCACCAACCCCAGCAATCATGGACCGATGCCATGACACGACCACTACACGACACGCTCAGGTTCCGTGGGTTCCTCGGCCGCGGATAGGGATGGCTCGTTCCGTCCAAAAGGGACGTCGCGGAGCGATGCGCCGGGGCCGTGTGGAAGTCAATACTGTTTCAGCCAAACGTGGATGAACTTGGTTTCGATGTCCGATGTCCATTGGTTGCAGGGGTAGGCACAAGTCAAAAAGGTGGACTGGAACATGCAGACAGGACGCCAAGTGGCCGACCTGCGCTTGGCCAGCTGGCCTCCTTTCTTTCCTTCTTTCTTTCTTTTGCAACGGACTCTTCGAACATGACGAACCGGCAAGTCGACGGATTCTGCCGCTGCCAAGAATGCCGCCAGGTCGCCGCGTCTGCGGAGTCGATGGAGCCCGCGTCTGCGGAGCAGGCTGAGGCGGGGGCAGGTTTGTGGCGGGGTGCCAGGTAGTGAGGGAGGGTGAAGGGGGGTTTTCAACAAGGGCAGATCTGGTGAAGCTGGGAGTTTGGTGGCCCAATGGGGGCAGTGCTTTTGTATCTTTGCCGAGTAATATAGCAGGTTGTTTGTGGGATGCAGCGACACAAGTAGCGACACACGGAGAGAAGACATGGCAGAATAATTTTGTGGAGCTGCTGTGTAAACATGGGTTCCTGAACTAGACTCCTTGCAGACTCCTGAACTCTTTTTCACTTTTTCACTCCTTTTTTCCGCCCATTCCAAACCTGTTGCTTTCATATGCTTTCATGATGTTTCAGGTGTTTCAGGTGAGGTGCCGCACCAGTCGCTCCGCCTTCCTGACTTCCGTTAAACTCCGCGTTCCTGACCAGCGTGAAAAACGGGCCGCGTCAGCTCGATGCTGATGCTTTGTTTGAATATATTTTCTTTGGCCAAAGAATTCAACTCAAAAAAGACTTCCAGTGGAATTCCATTCGGTTTCAGCAGGGTATGCAGTATGCGGCACATGTTCTTGGGGTCTCATGCTGATTGAATGTTGCTTGGGGCTTCCGGCAGGCCATACCTTCTTTGGGTGCTTTGAACTCCATCCCGGATGATGGGTGTTTCCACCGTGGTGGACCCTCCGCTTGCCCCGGTCTCGTCAGAGGCCTTCAGGAGACCAACCGACCGGTTGACCGACCGAGGGAGACGCACTGCTCGCGCTCCGGGTCCCCCTTGGCGCGCGCGCCGGGAAGCCGGGCGGACCGTGGCGGCGCAGAAGGCTGAAGTTGAGAGCGTGGACAAGAAGAGGCTCGAAGAGGCGCCCCCGAAATGAGGGATGGACGGGGATGCGAGTTCCAGCTATTTAGTAACTATAGTAGCAAGAAGCTACGCACGGTGGAGGCCATCGCTACTAGTAACAAGCTGCATTACTGCTAGTAACAAGAAGCTACTAGTAGCGATGCACTTGTTACTATAGTGCCTTTGTTGGCCATCAGGTCCGGAGTCTGGAGGTTGTAGTGACCTGGAGTTGTTCCTTTTCATCGTTAGAACCCGAAACGGGTTCAGTTGGGTCAGTTGCATTCTTTCCGGAGAAGGAGGTCGTTAGGGTCCGTTTCAACCACTCTTGGAAGACCCCGCTTCGCAGCTGTTCAGTACCGAAGGCGTTACCCGTTCATACGGAAACACCCTAGCCTTCTATAGACCATTGAACCGGTGTTTGGGAAACATGCTGATATCAAGCAATGCTGGTTGGAAGCAAAGAGGGCGGCTGAGGGATGACTTTGGTGCTTCGGGCGCATCAGCCCGGTGGGATCCACTGGATCGGATCTAAAGTTGTTTTCTGGGCGAGACCAGCAAGGACTTGCAGGCTACACTCCCTGGAATCAATGCTGTGTGCGCTTGGGAGCTTGGCCATACATGGGGTGTGCCCAATTCCGATTTCGCGAATCGGTCGGTGAATCCAAGTCCCATTGGAGGGAACGCAATTTTTGCGGCTTTTTGCAAGTCAGGCACCAAAGCAGCCAACAGAGGTTCAAGAACCCAATTCCCTTAGGTACCGCAGGTTACAGTAAGGGTTCTATTTGTGGTTGCTTGGTACCTCTCTTGGAATTGATTCAGGTCTCCAGTACCTCTCGATCAAAACACATCCACTAACATCATCTAACATCCACCTGCTGGGCCACCTAGGAGCCAGACCTGGGCTTGTCACAGGACGGGAGAAGAGCGGATCACGGAACGGCTGTGGAAGACAATCCATGGGCGGACATGTCTACCCTTACATTGACCTCTGAAACTGCCCACCTGACCTCGGTAGCCATGCCAGTCCCAGTGTTTGGGGTAGAACCCCCCAGTATCTAGTTTGGTACATATGCTGTCTCCATGGACTGTGTGGGTGTGTGTTGGAGATCCGCTCACAAACAAGTGTTGAAACAACTTAAAGCAGCTTAAACAACCGCAAGAGATTCATTCTAAGCAACTTTAACCATTTTAAGTGTCCATCCCAGGTTGCCAGACTAACAGACCTTTTGAATACATGTTGAACACACGCAAACATAACTAGACCCCGTTGATTCCAAGGCCCTGCAGTGGGGGTGATTTTTTCAACCGCCCGAAACTCATGTGGAAACCCCATCAGCCATCAGCCACCACTCCGTCGAGACTGCGCGGTGCTGGTGATGGGTTCCCAGCCGCCCACCAGATGCGCGCGGAATTGTGGAGTCGGAAGACCCCATCCGATGGGCCTTCGGCCGGTGATTTGCGTTGTTTTTTCCGCCACCTTCACCATTTTCACCCAAGTCTATTTCGAAGTCCGGTTGCGGGCCTTGTTTTGGGAGAGGTTGCTTTTATTTTTTGCGGAGGCGGGTAGATCCAAACACGTCATTTTCAGAATTGGAAGGCAGTCAAACAGGGGTGCCTCCAGGTTCTTTGCCATGCATCATGCAGCTTTCAGGGTATTGTCTGTCAATGGATTCGCTTGGTTTTTGGCAGTTGAAGGAAGGACCTCTGCTCCCTTGGAATGCGAAGAGAACGTTCAGAACACCCGGCGCGAGGGTCACACTTAAAATTGATCCGATGCGGGCCCCTGCGATGAAACTGAAGGCATCAGGCCACCGAGGCATGGATTTTTGAGTCCTAAAGTGAATGGATCATGGATACCTGGATACCGGGCAAAATGCTGGTTGAGATTCGAAGACGAAAGATCACTCATTCTGCAATTGGGCCAAACAGGGTGTGGGGCAGTGCAGGGCTGTGGTGGGGTGTGGGTGGCATTGGCGTTTGCTTGGTGCCAGGTTTAGGCCCAAAATTTTAGCACCCCCAGTTTCCACGTGCCTGCGCCAAACTCGCTGACTCCTGCAAGCCATGGCTTTGCCCTTGCAGTACCGCCACACCTTCATCACCCTCGAGGAGGGAATGGTGTGTTTTAGCCCGTTGCAGTTGAGGTGGTGGGTGATGCCTCTCAGACGGATCCGGGTCCATTTGCTTCTTCGCTCTGTTTTGTTTCTCTTGTTCGAGGGTGTTCGAGGGTGTAGCGTCCGAAAGGAACAGCTCGCGACCGGACCTAAACAAAGGGTCACAAGGAGGGTGGCGGCCGCAAGTGCAGTTGATCCAGTTTGGAAGTTAGACCGGCAGTTGCCTGTGGGGCTCCGTGGTGGCTGGATGGTGCTTTGGTCATCCGATCGGAATCTTTGAATCATTTTTCATTTGGCGTCTTCGTAGATACTCAGAGCCCTGCAAAGGCCTCCAAGAGCCTGTGAAGGCCTCCAAGAGCTTGCAAAGGCCTCCGAGAGCCTGTGGGTAGCATCGTTTCTGGACACCCCCGGTCTTCCAAGAGGTAGACTATTTAAAGCGCTCCTGGCAGAAACTATTTAAAGGATGGTCTTGGACTTGGCAGGGGGGACGAGACAAGGGATCTATCTCCGCTCCCCATAGGACGAGGCTGATGAGATGGCGCAGCGCCGCAGCAGCAGTGTTCCTTTCCGCCACTGGGTGAAAAATAGGTCCAACAAATCGACTTGCCCAACAACCCCCAAGTTCGGAACGTGAACTCTGAGGCACCATTCTCTTGCAGGTCACTGATGACTGGGGGGTTCCAGATGGATGACTGGGATGCTTCCTTTGCCCACTCCCCGGTCTTTCCGCGCAGGCAGCCTTTGCTCCGAGCCGGAGAGTCCGGCGCCCCACTCGGAGAGCTACGTCGCACGTTTGGGCCCACGCGTGGCCGAGAACTTCCTGTGGCCCATTGAGATGCCCGACACGACCGTGGGCAGCTTGGGACACCCGGAGGCAGCTTGGAAGAAAGAAATACCCAACGATGAGGTTGAGAACATAGGCTCTGACCCCTACTTAGGGGGTTCCATGAGCATCTGGACATCTTCATGTGTTTTGTGGTAGAAGATGTGCAATACCAAACCATCGTCTAGGCCCAAGAGTGTTATGCAGCTCTTCTATTCGTCCCTGGTCGGAGACGAAGAGCAAGCGAAAGCCCACAAGCTCAGAGCCATGGATGCTAGTACTCCACAAAGACCTCAGACACACACACAGAAGAAGACGCACCTGCATTCCAAAGACATCCGCTCAAAAGAATGGGACCAACGCAATTGGCATGTGTGGCACCTCACACGCCGCGCCAGTACACCTTAGAACACGGTGTGGTTCGCCCAACAAAACCAGGAAGCAGCAAAAGAGAGCGGCCATTTCAGCATGGGGCACAGTGAGCTACACCGTCAAAAAGAAAGAAGAGAAAGGGGAAAGGCTCAGGAAAAGGAAGGAAACACCATGGACACGAAGCAAGCCATACATGTTGTGAGACTTCCTTTGCGAAATTTGCCTTGCCAAAAACGCCATGTCAAGACCTATGCCACGGAAGGCGCTGCCCCTATGCTACAGAGGGCGAAGTGGACGAGGATTGACCAAGCGCAGGCAGGATGGCCAGCAGGCCGAGCAGGCCGAGCAGGCCAAGAGAATTGAGATCCTTCACCGAGATTCCTGAACCGATCTTGAAAAAGCGAGTAGCGCCCACGCATTGCGACCAACTGGCCCCGCGCGCTAGGCTCAAACAAAGGGCCCTGGAACGTCCCCACAACCATGCACAAGTCTGGCGCCTACGAGGCCCAACAATGGCTTCAACATCACAAAGATCCACCTCGCAAGGACACACTCCGCAAATCCAAAAAACACACCCTGGTTCACACGCATGCCGTGATTCCAAACCACGTGAGGTTGACGTCCCCTATAGAGGAATCTGTGCACTTTGAGGGGTCAACCATGGTGCCCAGGTCTTGACTTACTGTTACATTATATAAAAATATATCAGATGAGATCAGGTGTGCGGGAATGAGTTGGAGTGC